GATAGGGGAAAATGGCTCTAACAAAAAATATTCAAAATTTACTGAAGATTATGAAGCTATTACTTATAGTATACCTTATCTAGGCAAAATGGTGTAAAAATTCCATTTTCTTATTTTTTGTTACAGTTGCGCCCACTAGCGGTCGTTCTACAAACTTGAAAATAATTTCCGGCAATTTCTCATAGCCTCTTTAGCTATAAATATTTTTTTCCGCAGCCCCTACGGCTAATACTTTCCGAGATACAGCCGAAAGCTATTCTTAGTGGGACACCCTGTACATTCTTGGTATATCATCCACTGAGAGTTGAAGGTGTGGAATTTTCCTTTTAAGGGTGTTCCAGGCTTTTTATAATAAATAATAAGCAATAGAGAAAAAACAGTTTCAGTTGATTTCATTTTAATTTCTCAAGAATCAGTTATGCGTTGCCATCTATACTTAAAAGCCAGTACTACTCTTGGTACTACTAAAAAGATTCCTGTAAAGTGTATTACAAGCCCCGTCTACCAACAAGTATGTATCTAATAGATGGTACGGAATTAAGGTATTGTTTTATATTGTAGCTCTAATTCGTATATCTATGATTTTAACCAGTGCAATATGGTCTGGGCAAAACAAATAGAGAGTTTATGAATTACTTGTTTTCTCTATTTTAATTTTTAACTCTATGTGTGCAGCATACCTAGGTTTGTATTATTAAAATAGTACTATTAGTGGAGTGCTTGAACCCCTTATGAGATACAAACCTCGGAATTCATTTACTGTGAACGAATTTTTATAAAACTTTTTGCATTGTATTGTTAATAAGATATATTACAAAGTTTAACTATTTAAATTCGTTGCTTTCACTTTAGTATTTAAATAAACACACACATATACAGTACGTCTGTCCGTTCTGTAGCTACGGGGTATGCGTGAGAGGGGAAACAATATTCTCTCGATGTTTTTCGTAAAAAATTAGACGACGCGTCCCATCAATAAAAATTCGACAAATTTGCAAGCAGCCAATAAAATGAGTGGGCGGAGCGATTTGCGGTGACGTACCCGCCAAGTCGACGTATAAAATATATTGCTGTTTATTTAAATGTTTTTTGTCCGCATTCCTTTCATAGACACAGATCCAGCAGACGTACTGTACAAATGCATACATACAAGATGGCTCCGTTTTCCGGAAAAGCTCTGTATCAGGATTCCTATTTGGGATTTTCACTCCAAACCTTTTACAAAATATATGTTTAATGGTAGTTCACATTTCAACAATATTTATATAGATATACAGGGTGAGTCAAATATATATCATTTATTTATTCGAGTTTAGTGAATTTGCTATAAAATTCTGGTTCCAAAAATAAAAAATAAAAACAAAAAAAAAAAAATAAATAAAACACAATACAAAAAAAAAAAATAAAACACAATACAGAAGGTTTCACATTAATTGAATTCCGAGGTAAAAGTCTCTGGGCACTCCACTATATAAATAAAGATGATTTAATAGAAACAAATTTTATTGCTTATAAATATGAGCTTACAATGAATGCATGTAAGCACTATCATAAACACCTACATGACTAAATACCAAACAATAAATATTAATTACTAAAATTAAGTAACATCTAATCTTTTATTTTTTGTTATATCTGTCAAAATTCTATTTTATTATTATACAGGGTTGTTCACCACATACGACACGGAATATTGTAGCTAAACGATTAAATTTTTACAAATTGTAAGTTTTAGATTCGTTAAAGGACTATTAGAGCTACAATTTGAAAATATTTTTACAAGATACATAGTGTCCCAAATAAATAAAAAATATCAAAGTTGTATTTTTTTAAATGGAATACCCTGTATATTATTACATTTTTAGTTTCTACGATTAAAATAAAGGTAAATTTGATTAAGGTTTATTACATTATTTTCAATTTTGCGAAATTGCAGTATAAATTTTAAGGCTTCATTTCTCCGAGGATATCAAAGTTTTTAATACTAAATATTTACTGAAGTTTATTTATTGATCAGTTATTGTGTTGCAATAATAAAAATTATACTACCTTATACAGAGTGTCTAAAAATTTATTTTAAATAATTACTAGGTGTAAACGGCTATAACTTATTTACTTTAAATATAACACCCTGTATATTTTATGAGAATCAGATGCACAATTTAATTGTCTATCAAATTGTATTATGCCATTTTTTACCTATCCCTTCAAGTTTTCGTAGAAAATGCATTTTCTTATAATTTAGACCTCATTTATCAATATATCCATGGAATATTGACATTTTAGATTGTTTTTAAAACAACAATTGTACAAAATGTACAGACTAGTAATATTATCGTTTTTTTTACGACAATATTACTAGCCCATTTGTATGCAAAAAGAAAACTATTTAAATCTTTATAAAAGAGTATACCATTAATTAAATATAACACCATTATTTCCGCCCATATACTAATTAATTACATACTTAATTGTGTTCGTTAATAAATTATTATAAATAAATGTGGATTTGAGTGAGAAATCAATATAATAATAAGTTATCAAATTAAAGTCTCTGTTGTTATAAATAAACATTTATTAAAAAATGAAATATCATTTTTAAGGTGTTACTTTTTATCACACTGTCTAATGCCCATACAAAATTCAGTTTTTTAGTATTTGGAGCAATTATTATTAATCAACGCAAACAGTCAGTTAATGTAGTTTGAATACTGGAATCATATTAATTGATCCTCTTTAACAAATATTTAAACAGTTTTTTTTATTTTTTAATGAAATAAACGAATTATATCGACAATATTAGTATCTGTACTCTTTAAAAATTTGGTACATCTTTAAAAATAATCTAAAATGTCAATAGTCCATGGGTATATTGATAAATAAGTTTTAAATTACAAGAAAATGCATTTTCTACGGAAACTTAAAGAGATAGGTAAAAAATGGTAAATATAATTTGATAGACAATTAAATTGTGCATCTGATTCTCATAAATATACAGGGTGTTCCATTTAAATTAAACAAGTTATTATACGTTTAAAGTTAGTAATTATTTAAAATAAATTTTTAGACACTCTGTATAGAGGGTAGTTCTCCATCTCCAATATCAGTCGTACCAAAATCATGGCACGAATGGTTGTCGTCTCGGCGCACTCCAAAGAGGTGTACTGGTGTTTCACCATCTTCCCCACAGAATCTGCATTCGGGCCGTTTCTTCTTAGTTTCAATCTACTGAGGTGTTCATTGAGGAGACAGTGTCCTGTTGAAACCCCGTGACAACTGAAGATTGTTCTTACTCAGACCCAGGAAGATCTGTGATTTTTCTTGATCATAAGCCCTCAGAAACTTCTTCGAGTGTCCTAGACCATTGCAAGATTTCCATTCCAGGTTGCGGATGGAATCTTCCAAGTTCTTGAGTTCCGCCTTGAGTTGGTTACCACTTGGAAAGCAGAACGGTTCTGGGTCCAGTTAGTGTTCGCCCTTTCCTAGCTAGATTATTTGCTTTTCATTGCCTTCTATCCCTTGGTGAGCAGGGCACCCAGTGCAGGAGGACTTTGTTTTGGCTAATTTATTCAGCTTCTCTATGCATTCTTGACCAATTTCGAATTGATTGGATACTGAGTTGATCGCCTTTAATGCTGCTTCTGACTATCAGATAAGATGGCTATTTCTTTTTGTTTCCGATAGTTCCTATCTAAGATAAGTTGTACGCATCTCGATAGCGTAGATTTCGCCTGTAGGATACTAGGTAAGTGCCCATTGTCTGAGTAATTAGCTCTCGGCCCAAACACCTGATCCCTGTTCCTGTATTGGTCAGCTAATCAGTATACCAAGTTATGGTATGGTCTTTAACTGCTGGGCAAGCGTTTCGCTCTTCCAATCCTTCTTATTGCTCATCACTACATTGACATGTTTGTCAAAGTTGTACGTTCTGGCATATCGTCCATTGGGAGCTTGCAGAAGTGGCATTTCCTTTTGAGGGTGTTCCAAGCCCTGATCTGACAATTCTCCCAGCACACCTGTTAGTGACCATTCTAATCATTGTCGCATTGGCATATCTACCAATGACAATGCAGTGGTGTTAGATCTGTGAATGACCTCCATTGCTGCTGTTGGACAGGTTCTCATGGCTCCTGTGATGCACACACATGCTGGGGTCTCTGACTTGCATAGTTTAGCCTTTGCCGTCCGTTGCTTCTAGTTTTGTGTGTACCAGGCAACTGTCTAAGTAATCATGGGTCTTAATTTATCATGGTATACATCCAGCGCAAATGTTAGGGGAGCAGCCCCATCTATTTCCGGCCAGTCTTCTGCATATCAGTGAGAGCCTTTATGGCTTTGCTGGTAGTGTTCTTAATATGCCTGTTCCACAGGAGTTTACTGTCCAGGGTTATTCCCAGGTATTTAACTTCCTGGGTTAAGAGATAGGTAAAAAATGCATAATATAATTTGATAGACAATTAAATTGTGCATCTGATTCTCATAAAATATACAGGGTGTTCCATTTAAATTAAACAAGTTATTGCCGTTTAAAGCTAGTAATTATTTAAAATAAATTTTTAGACACTCTGTATAAGGTAGTAAAGTTTTTATTATTGCAACACAATAACTGATCAATAAATAAACTTCAGTAAATATTTAGTATTAAAAACTTTGATACCCTCGGAGAAATGAAGCCTTAAAATTTATACGGCAATTTCACAAAATTGAAAATATTTCAAAAACGGTAAGGTTTAAGTGTAATAAACCTTAATCAAATTTACCTTTATTTCAATCGTAGAAACTAAAAATGTAATAATATACAGGGTGTTCCATTTAAAAAAATATAACTTTGATATTTTTTATTTATTTGGGTCTGTATCTTGTAAAAATATTTTTAAATTGTAGCTCTAATACTCCTTCAACGAACCCAAAACTTACAATTTGTAAAAATCTAGTCGTTTATCTACAATACTCCGTGTCGTATGTGGTGAACAACCCTGTATTTAAAAAACCTACATAGGTGTTATAATTTCAACAAATCAAATTAATAGTATAATACATATTACATACAGAGTATTTCATTAATTTTAGTTAGAATTTGTGTATTAAAGACAGACAAAATGCTGTCAAAAAGTTATGAAAACGAAGACTATTTTAACATTGGTACTACAAAAGAACTAGAAAAAGCTACAAGATACTTTTAAATGTTAAAATAGTTATTTATGTATCAAAGTTTTTGTCCCGATGACCAGAGGAACAATATTTTCGTGGTATAATAACAAAAATTTTTAACAAATCCCTATTTTAATAATCACCTATTTAAATCTGTAGTACTACCAGGCAACGAAACCCTCTCTATCTCACTTTTAATAGCCTCAATAACCGAAATAGCAGGATCACTCGGTCTAAACCTTCCCTCAGCTAGAACATGATCCACGTTCACTCTTGGCAGGTTTTCAGAACTGCCCAAAGCACCACTGGACATTCTCCTAAGTCCAGAATCAATTCCTGGTGCTGTTGGTACTCTGCTGGAAGCATTGCTAGAAGCTGCGCTGGGTAGAATGGGTGCTGCGCTGACTGGTCGAATCAGAGGAGACGGAGCTGTGCTGCTCCAAGCGCAGCTGGGACCGGAAGAGTGTGGTTCTGGGTTTTTGGCTCCGGTAGTTTTCGGTCTGGGTCGTATTATAGGGTTGGATTCTGGTTCATCTGGTCTGTAATTCAAAAAATGAGGGATCTAAGTACCATACGATTGAAAAAAAACGGCGTCAAAGACGGCTGGGGAATGATAATCGATGATAATTTTGGCGAGGTCAAGCTCTGAGAGGTATGGAAATTTGGAAAAGTATAAATGAGATTAACCGTTTTAGATCAAACAAAAATATTTATGAAGAATGTATTTCTCTTAAAAAGTCAATAAAAAAAAAGTTTATTCCTTTTGTAAAGCCAATCCAAAGACATACTGTATACAGGGTGGCCCATCGAAATCGTTCCTCAAGGCATAACGGCCAGGGTATTTTTTTTTTTCAGAAAATTCAAAAACACGTCAATTTTGTTTGTGAGGAGGACAACTTTTGACGCAAAAATGATTGCAAAATCTTTAACCCTCTAAGCGGGGGTGTCATCCCCCAACTTTCTTCAAATGGGATTTCTATATTTCCCCGCTTCGTTTGTAAAAATCGGTCGAGTCATTTTGAAAATATGAAGGATTGAAATTTGAAAAGTACTTTTTGCAAAAAAACGCATAAATTGAATTAATTAAAAAAACTTAACTTGTTAATGAAGCAAATGCTGAAAATGTTGCCCGTCAACCTCCATACAGTAATACAAATTATTTTCAAACCACTCTCGAACATTCTGAAGAACTTGCGGGGTCACTTCGCGACCAACATCAATAATTCGTCTTCGCAGGTCTTCTAATGAGGCGGGTTAGGTTACTAGTGCTATACACTTTACTTTTTATGTGTCCCCATAGAAAAAAAGTGTAAAGGAGTCAAGTCGGGTGACCGGGGAGGCCACTGAATTGCACCCCTTCGTCCTATCCACCGACCGCGAAAGTTATTATTTAAATAATTACGCACATTTTGAGAGTGATGTGGAGGTGCACCGTCTAGTTGAAATATTAGTTTGGCTTCAACGTATCCAGGATTGTTCCAGGACTCTATGATGTCAGTTAGGGCTGGGTCGATAGTATTTTCCAGTAAATCCAAGTACATATCACCTGTTAGATTTCTAAGAAAAAAAGAGCCTACAATAGAATTTCCAAAAATACCAGCCCACACGTTCAATTTCTGAGGGTTTTGCGTGTGCACCTCGTGAAAAACCCTGGGGTTGTCCTCAGCCCAGTACCGACAGTTGTGCCGATTAACTACACCGTTCAAAAAGAAAGTACACTCATCCGAAAAACACACATTAAATAGGAAATTATCATTCGCCACTCGTTCACTCATAGTTTCACAAAATTGCAAGCGACGATCAAAATCGTCTTCGTTGAGTTCTTGTACCAACTGAATTTTGTACGGGTGGAACTTATTTCCACTTTTTCTGCATGTGAGTACATCATAATTGTTAAAAAGTTTAACAATATTGAGAAGAAGTTCAACGCACAAGTCACAGAACAGCTATCTAGCAACTACCGCACCTGATCGTCCAACGTTGTGGCAAGTGAAAAAATGCGTATAAACATCTAGAAACAATAAGAAAAAACAGCAAATTGGACGAAGGAATTTATCCTTATCATTTACCCTGATAAATGTTTAAAAAATCTTTTCAAATTTCAATCCTTCATATTTTCTCAATGACTCGACCGATTTTCAAAAACGAAGCGGGAAAGTATAGAGAATAGAAAGCCCTTTTCATTGCGGTACCACTTGATCCCCCTTCCCATTAGAAAAAAACTGGGGGTTGACACCCCCGCTTAGAGGGTTGAAGATTTTGCAATCATTTTTGGGACAAAAGTTGTCCCCCTCGCAAACAAAATCGACGTGTTTTTGAATGTTCTGAAAAAAAAAATTACTCTGGCTGTTATGCCTTGCGGAACGTTATCGATGGGCCACCCTGTATTTATTATTACAAATATATTAGCAGACCCGGCCAAGGTTTGCCGTGGCTAAGGTCAGTGATGGACAAGTACCCGGTATATTAAAATTTTGGTAAATACCCAAGTTTTTGCACTCGGTATATACCCAAAAGGTCAATAAATAGTATATTGAATCTGGGTAAATACCATTATACCCGGTATATACCCAATCATACCCACGTTTTTAATTTAAGGTATTCTATTAATTTTTAAAAACAATTTGTTGTTAAATTAAGATTATTGAATTACTAATATCGCTATTAAAAAATAGAGGTTGATGGTAGAAGGGTGAAAATTTAGGGATGTATGTATTTTTTAATGCCACATATAGCATAAAAATAAAAAATGTTGTCTAAAAAAAAATTGAGGTAGGTCACTATTATCACTTAGGGGTATAAAAATAGATAACAACCTATTCTCAGACCTACAGAATATACATATAAAATTACATCAAAATCGGTCAAGCTGTTTCGGAGAATTATGATAACAAAAACTGTGACACAAGAATTTTGGTGGGCCACTGAAAACTTACAATGGCTATAATTCTTAAACCAAAAAAGATATCAAAAAAATAAAAAATACCGTTTCTATAATATCGAGGGGGAATACATATGACGTATTTTTTGAACCACCCCGACCTACCCCTAAGGCGGCACCACAACTCACTTAAAACTCTTAAATGGCAACACCCCACTTGTGGCGCCTTTTTGGAAAGCCCATGAAAAATGCTAAACGATGATCATTAAGTTTTTAGGGTGAAATTGAAAAACTACCCCTTACACGAAAAATTAGGTGGACATTAATGAGAAAAGTGATTTTTTCAGCATAAGTTATAAATTGGGACCCAGCTAAATGAGGTTTTTTTCAAACCACCCCTAGGTGCCCCTCACTTCTAACCACAAGATAGCGATACCCCTCTTTAGAAAGCGTATAAAAAATGCTGAACGACTGTCATAAAAAAGAACGAAAAAAATAGAGCCTAAAAATAAAACAAAAATGTCAAAACGTGTCAAAATCAATAGAATGAATTATTTTTGTATCCATGAACCATTGCGAGAAAAAAAAGCTGGTACAAAGAAATTTATTATAACTCTTAATGAAGACCTCATACACTTTCAGCAAGATGGAGCCCCTTCGCATTATTCTCTGTCACAAGGCGGTGGTTGGATAAATATTATCCAACGCAATGGATTGGCAGAAGGGGTCTAATCGAGTGGCCGCCAAGGTCACCTGATCTCGCTCCTTTAGACTTTTCCTTGTGGGGTTACACTAAATTCATAGTCTACAAGACAAAACCAGGTTCGTTGCAAGAATTGCGGCAGAGGAGAACTAAAGCATGTCGAAATATTCCTAGAGAGACTTTCCAAAAAGTGAGAGAAGAATTTGAAAATCGTTTGTATTTTTATATGGAACAAAACGGCTGTCATTTTGAGCAATTATTAAGATAAATTATCATTTTAAATTTCTTTCAAATTGTCACACCTACATTTCTTGTCACTAACCAGTAATTAAGTTGAAGTCTGTATGACCATCGTTTAGCAATTTCAATTAGCTTTCCAAAGAAGTGTCACATGTGGGGTATCGCTATCTTGAGATTAGAAGTGAGGGGGTGCCACCTAGGGGTGGGTTTGGGTGGTTTGAAAAATACTTCATTTGTGTCATTTAGCCGGTCCCAATTTGTAACTTATGCTGAAAAAATCACCTTTTTCATTAATGTCCACCTAATTGTTCGTGTAAGGGTAGTTTTTCAATTTCACCCTAAAAACTTTATGATCATCATTTAGCATTTTTCATGAGCTTTCCAAAAAAACGCCACAAGTGGGGTGTTGCCATTTAAGATTTTCAAGTGAGTAGGGGTGCCACCTAAGGGGTAGGTCGTGGTGGTTCAAAAAATACGTCATATGTCTTCCCCCTCGATATTATAGAAACAGTATTTTTTATTTTTTTGATATCTTTTTTGGTTTAAAAATTATAGCCATTGTAAGTTTTCAGTGGTCCACCCTGTATATTAGATTATTTAATTGAATTTTATAAAAAAAACTACCTGGTTTCTATGGCTGAATGACTCTTAACTTCTATATTTATTGATGTGCTTCTGTTTTCGGCAGTCAATTTCACTGGGCTCCCTTTTCTGCTACTTCCAAAGAGGCTAAATGTGTCATCAAGTAAATCATGGAATCTTTTCCTCATCCTTGCTATATTTCCATTTGTTTGGCCATCCTTGAGATCACTAATTCCTTGATCCACACTTACACCTATATTAATTTTTAAATTTTATTTAATGGGTCTATTAATTCATTAGAAAATTTTAAAAGTGTTTTCAAAGCGTTACTGGCGTTACTTTATAAAATAACCTTCACCATTTTGTCAAAAAAATCAATATCACTCTTAATTTTAAAAGTCTATTATAGCGTGCTTTCGGGGAGCTCTAAGGGGTCGGCGAGGGGCATACCGCTGCCAAAAATGGTGTACAATATACAATAAAGACCAATTTTGGGAAAAAAGGACCAAAAATACCAAATTATTTCCAAAGTCTGTCTTAAGCAACATGTTTAAAAATGTGTTCGCTGGCATTGATTCTGGCTTATTCTCATCAGGTTCATTCTCGGGTTCATTTAGACAAACCATCATCGTTTCCTTAAGAGCTTTCGATATTTCTCCATTTTCCTTGAGAGTAGAATTTATTTTCTCTAATATCGAAATAAAGTTGGTTATAAGAGGTTGATTATACTAAAACTTTTCAATTTTTCTTTTATTCCTTTGCGACTGGCTGTATTTTGTAGACTTCCAAATTGAATTATTGCTTGTTGACGGTAAGGTTGAAGCGGCAGCTGATAATGGTAGTAAAGGGGTAACATCGGGGAGATAATTATTATTGCTTGTGGATGGTATGGCTAAAGTGACGGCTGATAAGGGTAGTTCCGAGGCTCGTTTAGTTGGGGGATAATTACGCAATCTAGTATTTTTACATTAGGATTTCTTTGATTACAGGGAGCTTCACATATTAGATTAAAGGTACAATTTTGCTACATGAGGGTATGCATGCCTCTGTAATTTCCACCAGCGGTTTGCCCCTCGGGGGTCGGGTAAAGCGGGTGTGTGGCCGAAGGAAATATATATTATTTTTCAGAAATCTGCCTAAGGCTTAGCCCGATCCTGTCGTGTAAAGCGACACCTAGAATTCGAAACACACGTGCTTTGATTAAGGCTTGATTAAGGTTTGCAGAGCTTCAGCATTTGCTATAAAATAGCGTGTTTGTTTCGTTTTGAAACAATTGTTTCAAAACCATATAAATTATATATCACTGTAATCACAAAACGTCAATCTCTTTCCGTATTGCAACGGAATGGTAAATTATGTCTTTGTTTTCGGGAAAATTTAATCCAAACATAAGGAATATTTTGTCGATGTTTGACCATCAAAATCTTAAAAATAACGAAGCTGTCTAAAAATGTGATACAATACGGATATAGTATAATCTTTTATCTTTAATTTCTTTCTTCATTTGTGTAAAAATACCTAGCCAGTTTTCCATAAAACGTTAAATGCCGAACGCTTATTTCGCTACTTTTTCGGACTAGTGAAATGGACTCTAAATTCTGACACGAGAGTTCTTCTAGATTTACTACCTCTGAACAAAACAAACTGTAAAATAAATAATAAATAAAACCAGCTCAGAAAAGCACAGAAACAGTAAAAAATTCATCAAATTCAAATGTCTCAATTAATACATGAATACACTGAATACACGAATAAACATTGTAGTTCTTCCTTAGTCTTTTTATTCAAAATGTAACGTTTTTAGTTCGTTACATGTCATTTTTATATATAATATATGATGTCTGGCCTATCATCACCGGATTCCGTATCGTTCAGGCCTGATAATTTATTTGGCACGCTTGGCGTAATTTTTACGTTCCCTAGTCGCCAACCCTGTTATCGTTTGACACAACCCTGTTATCGCTCTGAGGAGGCGCTGTCAACATCGCTTCTGTCAACTCTCTCCGTACTTAACCTCACTTTGTTTTGCCGCTCTGTTGTATCCCGGCTTTTAGAAATGGTGATTATTTAAATCTTGTTGTATAATTTGAATCAGCTGCTATTTCAAACCAACAGGTAAAGATGAGATATTATCCTTTTAGATTCGGTATTATTACTGCATATTTTTAGGGTAGAGTTTTGGATGTCCCAACTTAACTTGTATTTGTATTTTGCTGGCACGTTGGCGTCCCTTTTCTTTTGTCCTCCAGAATGTTACATGGAAGAAAGGACAGTTTTTTTGTTTATTATTGAGCCCTCGGAAGTAATTCGAGGTAGGTTTATTTTGTTTATTAGACCTTGTTTGGTTTTAAACAAGAGTTTCATATTTTTAGGGTCCAAGGTAAGGACTATTTACAAAGTACGGGCATTATCCAAGGTCCTAGTAGTATCTAAGGTACGGGTAGTGTTCCCCTGTACCGTTGTCTTATGGACGGACTGTGTCCAAGGTTATGGTCCAGGTTACGGACATTATCCAAGGTCCTAGTAGTGCTCCAAGGTACGGGTAGTGTCCCCATATTGCCACAGTATGGATACAGCGTAAGCCCCGTGCTGCTTCGCTCCCATTTCTAAGCCTAGTCAGTAGCTACGGCTGTATTGATTCATGGTGACCTCATTCTGGCTTCTTTTGTTGTTTTGGCCAACAGTATTTTGCCTATTTTGCCCTACCTCACGCTGCTACTCTTCGAAACAGGATTGCCTCAAAAACAGCGAAGTGTAGATTTAGGTTCTGGTTTTCAGTCGATTTTCAGTCTTAACTTATTAACGTACATTTTAAATAATATCGTACAGACTATATTTAGTGGTTAGATTATTAAGAACATTTATGTCGATTTAGTAGTTAGAATATGATTTAGATTTTAGGTTTCATTACATTACGCCTTGTAATAGTATTACTTTTTTATAGATATTATTATTGCACTAACATCATATAAAATATATCAAATTAATTAAAGTAATGCTACATTTCATATATTATCTTAAACTTTACATGTCTTGTATTTTATCATAGTTGTTTTCATAGATATTTAGTACAATTCTTAACACCACTTTCGTTGACATATAATCACTATAATAATTATTAAAATTGTACAATGCTATTTACCATCACAGTCCATCTTGAATAAATATAGTCATTAGATTTAAGTAATATACAACTGTGTTTTCTTTCTCTGTACATGCCTGGCGCCCAATATCTATATTTTTTTTGTTTATTGTTATTGATTAGTTTTCTCTCTAGTGAAATACCTTATCCACGACTGCTCTCCGATGAAAAGCTGCCGTTCGCAGTGGTAGTTGTTATAAAAAACGCTACAAAAATATCAGGGGATAATTCTCATTATATTTATCCCTTACATTGTTTAGAAAACTGACAATTCGACATATTATTATACAGGGTGTCCCAGAAATAAGTGCAAATATTTTAACTGGTAGTATAGTTCAACCCCAGAAACTTGAAAGGCCTATGAGGTTGTTTTGCGAAAAAAAAATTGAAAATTCGAAATTTTTTGAAAAATTTTTTGGAATTTTTTTTAGGTTTTAGTTAAAAAACATAATTTCTTGATAATATGGCAACATAGGTATTAGATTAAATTTACAAGAAAGAAAATCCAGAAAAGATCCAGTGGTTCTCAAAATTTTAGCAAAAAATCATTTTTTTTTGGAAATTTTCAAAGTAAAATAACTCCGTTATTTTGTATTTATTTGAAAAACGATAAAGAGAAAATATGTTTCTTTTATCGAGATCTACTACCCCTTAAAATATTTGCACTTATTTCTGGGACACCCTGTATAAATACATTACAACAAGAAGATTATTATACATGCAACAAGAAGTTTCTTACCATGCTTTAATCTTTCACAATGCATATTCCACACAGCAGGCCCAATAACTCCTGGATCCTCCACTGTACCTACACTACCATGCCTAACCATATACTCAGATCCATATCTCCTCTCATTTGAGTACTCCACCTCATCATTGGGCATATCCAGATGCGTCACACTAACAGGCTCCAGTACTTTCGCAAGAGGCTCGGGCATATTTGTCCTTTAAACGATGAGTAAGTGTTTAACACAGTTGAACAATAAAAAGAATTGGAAAAAAGAAACGTTTGCTCAGCAAGTAAAAACCCATACCATAAGGTGGTATAATGATGCTTCAAAAATTTAGCCTTGGTGAAACTTTTAAATTGTTTCTTTTTTTCATTTAGGCCTTCGTTTTTCGTTAAATGAAAGTTATATTAAAAAAAGTCTATTTTTAAACCAAATTTTCTCATGATTGAAATGAGTTATTCATGTTTTAAAGTTTTTTTTGGTCATAAGCGCTAATGGAAATGTTTTTTTGTAAATAATTATAAAAAATTACTCCCTACGAAGACTTTATTGTGTACTGGACCAAAAAATAAGTATTTGTTTTCTCTATACGGTGGTATTAATATATCGATTTTTGATGATAGTGCCCTTTTACCCGGTCTAATTTTGTACTACTTTCGGAATAAGGGTCTCCATATCATGTACTGTACTTCCATCCCTGAAAAATTCAGCTTGTGACACCGAAGTGAGACGTAAAGTCAAAATAAGCTTTTAATCTACCTACATCATAGGTAGGTGTAGATACTCTAGGTATATTCTACCTAGACAGTAGCTGACAGTAGTAATTAATTTGTTATCCGATAAGTAGTTGTCGTTATATAAGTTTAATAATCTTATACCTCCTATAACGGTAGGTTTTAGAATTTTTCCTGATTGGTTTGTTAAACAAAAATATACTGGGCATATAAATGTCTAACACAATACATGTATTGAATGTACTTATTTTAACCAATGCATTGTTTTGTTTTTTTAATCTCACAAATAAGAAATGTTTTATAGTTTTTATTATAAAAAACAGTGATTATACAATTTATTTGCACCCCTTACACTGCTTTCTGTAAGGGGTGTAACCAGGAGTATATTTCGTAACCTCTTACGATATAAGAGGGCACAAAGTGTTTTATTACTTAATGCTTAGATTAAAATTTAATAATATATTTGTACATAAAATAAAATAGACTAGAAAGTCAATTAATTAATATTGATGTACAATACCTACCTACCACACAATACCTCCAGAAATAAATTATTTGTCATTGTCAGTGGTGTGTCAGTTAGATTATATATTAAGTTTTTAGATATTTTAGGAGTGAGTTCATACCGCCAGCTTTAGATACAAAAATATTAGCACAAAGGTTCGTTTAAACGACATTAGTGAATTAGCTACACAAAGCAATTTTAGGAAATTCATCCTCTGAGAGAGTAATATTATGCCGGAATAGTTTGTTGTATGAAAATTCCTTACTATTTGGTCTAGAAGAATGAAATCCTACAAAAAGAATTAGAAGAAATTTTTGAAATTCATCAACCAAATGGATAAAGTTAGTAAAAATTTATATAAAACTTGGTGACCTCTGGATTATACACATTAAAATTGGCACAAAGATAAAGCGAATTTATGAAATTTATACACTTAGAGAGTAGAATAGTGAACGAAAGTTTGCTGTACGAAAATGCAATACTATAACATTGTAAACCAGACAGTATAAAATTTTATGCAAGGGTTTATTTAGTGACATCTTAACGAAATATATCTTCCTCAATTATCCTTCAAAGTATAAAATATAACCTATATAGAGAGTATTAGTGCTCTTAATAAATAAAAAAAAGATGAAAAATAAAAAACATCTATGCTCACTAGCTCTCTATAACGAACGAGGAACGATTCGAGGTGTAACGCGAACGTAGTCGCGGGAAAAAGCTAGTAATTTATTAAATTATTTTATTTAACTGATTAATTTTCATTGAAAAGGAATTTTTGTAATTCGCCACTATATTAGTTAAAAACTAAGAAACTCATATCAAATTTAAGTTTTGCGATTTTGACTTATACTTTTTACAAAATCTGAACACATTTAAAAAAAAAAAAGTTTTTGATAATATTTGTGTAGATTGACTACAAGTTGTATAACATAAATTTCTACGACCGGTCTACCTAGTGGTCTGCAGCATCGCCTTGTGGTGCAAACGTGGGCCTGTTAATCTGTGACGTGACGCACAACAGCCAAGAAAAACAGCAGCGTGGCTAAGAATTTAGTAATTTAAAAAAAATGTCTTTTAGATACAGTAGTAGGTATTAAAAAGTTTTGTGTTTAAATGGGGTTTGCCTTTAACAGTTAAAAAATTATATCGTAAAGTGTAACTTTCCGTAAGAATTCTTTATCTGTCATCGATCATGATCTGTCATCATGTTAACCTGATGTTTTATATGTTATTTTGTTTTTTTGCTTGTTTGTTTTACGGATAGGTGCGATCGCATAATTATTATTGATAATGTTTTTATTTAATGTTAACATTACTACTATTTCAGTGAATCTTTAAATCTGTTGTTTTTTGTTAAGTTCGTTATTTAAACATATGTATGTAATACACTCATATTAACACTAATCATATTTTTACGTTTTTATTCATCATTTTCAATGCCCCCCGGTTGCATCTTTGTAAAGGACTGTGAATTTTTTCTTATAGGTTTTCTTACCTTGGGAAACTTCTAACGCTAGGCATAGAGAGATAACTCTTAGGACTCATAACTCCAGGATCCATATTTTCTTCAAAATCAGGAGATTCGTCTTTTCTGGAAGTACCGCTATCTGAATCAAACACCTCTGGAGGGAACTTCCTCATGGACATGTTCAATGGAACGGTTTTGTTCAAGGCTGCTCTTGGTCTAGTTGGTTTTCTTGGTGTTTTTCGCTTTTTTGATAGGGACATTAGTGGAGAAATATCCAGGGAACTTGAGCTAATCAACAGAAAAAATATGCTTTAGTATACAAGACTTATATATAACCAGTTACGATAACCTGTAGTTCCGGAATCGTTTTAAAAAAGGTAAGACAAAGTTACGAATTTTATTTGTCACTTCTCAAAAGTTAAAGTCAAAAAAAGTAGCAGTGGCAACATTGCGACGTGGATTCGTCAAAAATTTTGATGACATTCACAACTTCTATTGATTTTCCTATATGTCCATTATTAAATGGATATTGAGGTGAGATCAAATATTTGTTGGATTTACCTAGATGATGTAACACTAGCTGAACTGGCAACCCTCAAAACCAATCCCGCATTAGTGTGTTGATTGTCAAAATTAATATAGGTGGGAGAATCTTTATTTCTTTCTTGGGTAATACTGTCGCCATCTTGAACCAAGCCTTTGTTTTCTGGTCCCACTCCTCTTTCAAAAATGTGTCTCCTAAATACATTATCATCTAAGTGTTTTTATTTTTTTCAACTTTCTGCATTAGTATGTGTTGGAGGCAGATGCCGAATTCGGCCTATGTCCGAAATAATTACACATATGGCAATTTGTCCATGCTAAACTTGCCAGATGCGTGCAACTTCGTGGTATATTCGTGGTTCGATAAATAATCTTTATATAACTTCTTTGCGGAGGGGGTTAATTTTTTTTGGTATAATATTACAACAAAAGATTAACACCCTCCGCATAGAAGTTGAAACCAATGCCATCAATACTCTTCCGCGTAACTTTGTGGATATAGGTAGGTATACAGGGTGTTTCAAAACAAATGCGAAAAACTTCAGGGGGTGATTTCTTGTTCAAAATAAAGGGTAGTTTGCTTCATAAACGTTGGGTCAAAAGTCAACCATTAGGGAGATATCGCGGTACAAAGATGGCGGAAAAATAATGTTCTTATTTTTTATCTTGAAAACGAAAAGAGATGGACTAATGAAATTTTATGGAAGCATTACTGTTATGAAAACACACTTTCTGGTAATTTTTCACTTTTTAAAATGAGTGGAAGGGGTTGAAACCAAACTACCCATATCATTCTTGTTAACGAAATTTAAGAAAAATCTTATCAAACACATGCAAAAAATTAATTTGGATAGTTTAGTTTGTTTAGAATTTTTTTAACTCTTGTATTTTTTATAAAACTCACCGATTTGAATTAAAAATAAAATGTAAAGCATTACATGTCAGGACTAAAAATATTTTAGATTAAGAATCTAGTGATAATAATGATAATAATAATAATCTAGATAATAACGTATTGCAGTAGGGTAATGTCAAATAAAACAATATTAGGAAACATCTAAAAAAGTGACAGCGGCCAAGACTAGATTTTTTCCTAAAAAATTACAGCTGCCCACTAGACTCTTTATCTAAAAATGTTTTTGTCCTGACATGTAATGCTTACATTTTATTTTTAATTTCAAATTGGTGAGCTTTATCCTAAAACACAAGAGATAAAAAAGTTTCTAAATAAACTAAACTATCAAAATTAATTTTTTTCATGTGTTTGACAAGATTTTCTTTAAATTTCATTAAGAACAAGAATGATAGGGGTAGTTTATTTCAACCCCTTCCACTCATTTTAAAAAAGTGAAAAAATTACCAGAAAGTGTGTTTTCATAACAGTAATGCTTCCGTAAAATTTCATTAGTCTATCTCTTTTCGTTTTCAAGATAAAAAATAAAAACATTATTTTTCCGCCATCTTTGTACCGCGACATCTTCCTAATGGTTGACTTTTGACCCAACGTTTATAAAGCAAACACCCTTTATTTTGAACAAGGAATCACCCCCTGAAGTTTTTCGCATTTGTTTTGAAACACCCTGTATATTTAATTATAATCGCCATATGTCTAATTATTTTGGACATACGCCGAATTCAGTATCTGCTTCCAACATATATACCGTATCTTGGAAAAAAACAGCGTCAAAGACGGCTGGGGAGTGACAATCGATGATAATTTTAGCGAGGTCAGTATCTAATCTAAAATCATTTTAACTCAATATAAAAATTAGTTACAACCTTCTTAAGATCACCTGGCAATAAGCGCCATTAAAAAATAAAGAAGAGTAAGGGCCAAGTAATATCATCTAGGGCTTAACCTCGCCAAAATTATCATTCATTTTCATTCCCCAGCGTTCTTTGACGGCGTTTTTTTTCGATCGTATGGTACTTTCTTTACTCGATTATTTTTATTATTACTTGACATATTTTGTCGGTTTTACATCTGTAATAGTTGTTCTTTTGTTCAACAACAAAAAAAAACTACTATGTAGTTTGGACCAGGGGGATGACAGTAAACCGGAAAATTGGAAACAGTTGTGGCGCGGTTCTACCCAGGCAGAAAGCATGGCCTTCTAGACTGTCCTAGACAAAAATCTGAATATTTCTGTCAATTTCTGCTACGGAACATTTTTATGCACGTCGGCGTCCTGTTCTTTTGTCTTTTGTCTGTGTGTCAGCGTCAGCTCCCGAGGCCTCTGGCAAGGTCGGGCGCCATTTTAATTTTTGCCGTTTAGATTTGATTGGAAGTTTGTTTCTGATATTTCGGCTGAAATTTATAAGTACAAAGATGTTTTTTTGATATAAAGTTCCTTGTTAACACTTTAATAAAGTATATATGATATTAATTACATGAAGAAAATGATGAAATCGACGTTTCTGCGTGTAGTAGGTATGGGCCATATTATATATGTAAAAATAGGTAATATATTAACTGTTTTTATATTTTTTTAACTTTAAACCCAAGGATCTTGGGATATTTTGCCAAGGATTTTTCCGTATCTCTACTTTAAAGACTGATCGGTGATTTTGAGCAATTGAAAGCAAGTTATACAAGGTAAATTATGATTATTGAACTATTATTAGCCTACATTAATTTTCTACAAGATGAACAGGAATGCGTAATTACATATCACATAGGTACCTATTATGTATTTTCATAGCAATAATGCTATAAATCTATGTATGTAGATTATTTTTAAAATACAAATGTGGTGTATATGTATTATATTTTTTATTCATTTTATTTTCATTCAAGTCCTGTTTGATTTAATTCACAAAAGTCTTATGTACCTATATTTATGTTTTTTACATATTTTTTTTGATTCCATGTTTTGTGTGGGTTCCGGTTGCCTTTTTCCTGCTTCCAGTTATTTAGTTTTATGCCCGTGAAGCTGTGAAAACATTTATTTATCTTCAAGTTTCTGTAAGTCAATGCACTGTTACTTTACTAATTCACTTTAACACAGCATCTCTGATATTATTTAAATATTTGATATTGATACAGTAGTTTATTGGATTATAGCTCTTTAATTGTGTTGATTTGCATATTTACATTGTTCTAAATTCCAAATAAATATTTTTGAGTAATTTTGTTGTATTATTTACTACTAGAAAGAGTAAAAAAGTATATTAACCCTCATTTAAACCTCCTGAACAGCCCGCCATTAAAAACCGGAAACGGAAATAAATTTCATAAAATTGAAATTGTCATGTCTATGTCATGTCAAATGTCCCAGCCGCCATATCTGAAAATTAGTTACCCAGGCAGCCACGCTGTTTCCATAATTTAACATTGACTTGACACTTCTTCTTGTATTTATTATTTTATGGTTTGGACTATATCAAATACAAAAATTCAAGTAAATGAAATAATATAGGTAATGCAGAATGTTTTATAAAAAAAAACTAATGACATGAAAAACTTCTTCCAGTATGTTTTTACCTGTTGTCTATTCCCAAAGCACTAGTTTTTGGTGAGGTAACATTTCTTTTTGCGAAACCCAAAATTAGAAAAGCCAAAACCAACAGTAAAAGCAGTATGCCCATGATAGATGCTCCTATAACAAACCAGGTGTTTCTGGCTCCAGACAGGCTCATTGGTTCAGAAGCCTTCAAATATGCTAAAAGTTTAAATAAAGATCACCATTTTTTGTGTACATAATAGAGATTAGTAAAGTCTGTCCAACGATTTAGGGAAGATTTTGACAGACCACATCCAAAAAATGATATGTAATGAGTCTCCCTTGGATAGACTATAATCATATTATTCTTACGTTCAGCTTTTATAAGAAATGGGTAGCCCAAAGCTTTTTGAACCTCGTCATCAGTAACTAACTTCATGTCATTGGCTGCAGTGTAGGCATCTACCGGTTTTCCAAGTACTTCCACGTGATACAGTACTTCGATTTTGTCATCACCATTTAGTTTCTGTTTGTCTATTTTGTGAATGTGAACGTTCACAGGTTGGTCAATTGGAGCTCGCTTCTGACGATTTGGTGCCAGTCCCAGATGCTGATCTTGCTGTCTATTTTATAAAAATTATATTTTAGTAAAATACTATGAAATAAACTATTCTAAATTATTATAGTATAAAAATAAAGGGGGGTACTTCGATATCAAGAATAACAGATTATTTTGTTAAATCAGCACCTAGTTTAGTGTTAAGAGGGTATAGACTAATCCTAGTGTTGTAACTAATTTCCAAACGAGCCTCGGAAATATTGGGAATATTGGAAATATTTTTAAAAATACTTAAATCTTGCCATTAACGATTCAAACCCGATGTTTATTAATATATCTTTCATATTTTGTAACCCTATAAATATTAAACTTACTATAGAACAGTTTTACAAACATATAATATGGTGAATATATCGAGTTTGAGGATTCACCAACTTATTTGCAACCTCGCATTTCTACGGGGAAGACCCGAGCTCGTAAGTCGTAGCGTAGTAAAAACTCGCTGGTCTTCAATTTTGACCAATTTAAAAATATATATGTATACAATACTAGGCTCAGTTTACAAGGAATTGCAGTTAGTCAAGAAGCAACACAAATGATTGATAAAAATGTTAAGCAGTGGATATTAGATGACGAAGTATTTTGGGCCCAAATTTCCAACGTATTTAATATTTTTGAACCTATTAGCAAATGTTTAAATATTGTAGAAGGAAATTATAGCACTATTCATTTTGCTGTAAAAGCATTTTGTGATATTAGAAGGGTAATTCAGAATAATCTTGCATTGTCCTCACTTGACGACAAAGAAAAATCCGAATTGTTGGAGTTTGTTGACAAAAGAAAAAAATTTGCTATTAAACCCATTCATTATGCTGCAGAATTACTAAATCCAAAATCACAAGATTCTGAACTTGATGAAACTCAAATTATTTCTGCCATAGAATGCATATACTTAATATATCAAAAAATAAACTCAATATAAAGGAGCAAGAAATAATAGATGAAATAGCAGATTACCGTTGTAGAAGTGGCAAGTTATTTGGAAATAACTTCATATGGAGAAGTAGTTTTGATAGCCCAGTCTCCTGGTGGAAAGGACTGTGTTCTTCATCTTCATTATCACAAGTAGCTTCACGAATGTTGATGATGCCAGCATCTTCGCCTGCCACGGAAGGCAGTTTTAGCGTTTATAGTCATATTCATTCAAAAAAGAGAAACAGGCTTACTAATGATAGAGCCGCTAAGTTACTCTATGTATCCCACAATGAAAACTTGCTGAAGAAAATAGGAAACGGCAATAGATCAATATTTATTTCCGATACTATTGAAGATTTTGAGGAAGTAGACTGGCAAGAAGATGTTACTGAGTGTGATGCTGATGACAGTAATAAAGATATGCCTCTTGCTCGACTGGTGTGTCAAAAATCATTTTTTTTTTGTACAAATTTAACCTTAATTTATTTTTTAATTTGAAGAATAACTCTTTATTTGTGTTTATGTATAAGCATTTTGTGTTTTGCGATGTTTTGTTATGATTTTTATAAATATTTCAGTTTTTCTTATTTTTTAAAATATTTCATATATTTCCAATATTTCCATATATTTACAATGTTTCAGGAAATATTTCCGAAAATATATTTCTGGAAATTTTATATCACTAACTAATCCACAAGAAATCAGATTGAAAAAAAAATAATTAAAAAAAAATATTTCAGAACAATTATGCAAAAAATAATTAGTTTATTTTTTCTATAATAACTTGTTATACAGGGTGAGTTTTCTACGATGTTTCCTATGGGTATCTCGGAAACTACTGGAGATAGAGAGTCGATTAAATGGGGAAAGAATTGCAGTTTTGTGGGGTCATAAATATGCGTCTTTCAGATTTTTGAAAAAGCTCATGGCTTACAAGATTTTACAAATTTTGGTTATTTTAAAAATTGTCCCTAATTCCATTATAATCTATTTTAGACCAAAAGTTTTCAGATAAAAGTTGTAGATAATTATATCCCTAATGAGTTATTGTTACTCGATTTTTTCTATAGCCTGTCATTTTTGACATATGACACAAACATATGTTTTTTTAAAGGGAAACCATAGTTGGCCATGACTTCATAAATTCTTTCCCCATTTAATCGACTCTCTATCTCCAGTAGTTTCCGAGATGCCCTTAGATAACATCATAAGAAACTCACCCTGTATAATCTACTAATATTATATAATTATATATTTTTCCGCAACTTCTTCAAACTTTTTAGTTCAACACAAGTATGTCTAACCATCAAAATTATTTAATGTTGTATGACGTCTCCCTTCGCAGAAATAAATAAAAATTCAAGGTAAAAACAATTTAAATATAAATATTGCCATGCAAATCTTATCTAACTAGAACATCTTGGTTAGACGTTTGTCTCATCAACTCTGTTACGTATATTTACCAACACAATATTGACATCAGTGATCACAATTTCTTTATTATGCTTTCGTGTTATATTTACAAGAATTATATTTATTTCATTTTGGATTTAAACGTACACAATTTCTAATCCATATAGTACATATGCACATTATTATATTTTTAAAATCCCGAAATAATTCGTTTTTATATCAAATGCAGGGATTGGAAAGAAATAAGGAATTTTCATTGTTTTTGATACATTCTGTGGAGTGAGCAATTGATAAGTGAAAATATATTTTATGACAGTTATTTTTAGCGATGGGAACTATCGAATGAATTAGACTATCGAATGGTTACTGAATGAATGATTTCAACTATCGAATGGTTTTATTCGAATAAAATCATTAATTCATTTGTATACTAAAGCATAAGTGACATCCTCGCCTTGCGACTAAATGGTTATCGTTGAGCCACGAGCCACGACTATCGAATGTTTTTGATAAATGAAATTTAGTATTCGTTTGATTTTTGTGTGCGTCAGTGCATTATTAGTTCTTCCAAATTTTTATAACTTCGCCTTGTAAATACTATGCTATTTTTGCGTTTATTAAAATATTTAAAATACTAAAATAGTAGGTTTTTTTTAATTGAGTGTGCGAAGTGGTCAAAATTTTTCCGAAAATTTGTGTGATTTTCCGTAGCCCGATCTTTCAATTATTTAATTTTATATGGTATATTATGGTTAGGTTAGATTGCATTTTTTTAATGGGAAATTTTGAGAAGTAACAATTTTTAAGAGAGATGAGATGAACTTAATAATCATATTTAAGTAATGTGGTTAAGTAAATGGGGTTATTGAACTCAAATTTGGGGTGAGAAAATTAAATTGAAAGTTTTACACGTGCCAATTTCAAAAAAAAGTTAACAATGTTTGTATTTTGTTTATGCTAATTCTCTTACATGTAGTTTTTTGCGAAGAAATATTTCATTTATTTTTTAAAGTAAATGCCAGTAAAAGTAAATATTATTTTTAAATAGTAATATAAAATAATAAAAAGTAATATAAATAATTTTGATTTCTAATTTTTTATTTATATTTTCCTTCCATTACACGGCATTAGTAAATTAATAAATGTTTATATTTCATGATTTTAAAATTTGTTGTTAATATAACAAATTAGTTCTGCAACTATTATTATTTAATAAACCAACGTTGCCATTTAGAGACTATATTATTTTTAGATAGGATAATAATAAATAATATAAATACTTTTGACTTCTATTTGTTGTTTATATTTTGCTACTACTTAAAAAAAAATGTTTATATTATTAAATGATTTTAAATTTTGTTGTTAATAGGTATAACAAATTATTACTGTTATTATTTATTAAACCAGTCTTTGCTTAAAAACATTAAAAATAATTTTTCTACATCCAAAATAAAAAGTATTATTGTAGTGTAATAACAGAATATTAATAAAAAAAATGCAAAACATTAGACATACTATCCCTAACTAACTAATGCTAAAGAATAATATTCTTTGCTAATACCAACTAATACGAATATATGGCAACAGCGCCCTTCATAATGTATTTTCTGTGTAAATACTAGCACCTCAATAAAAAAAATAATGTGTCCTTATCTTTATTTGACTCCGCAAAAAATCAAAGATGCCGGCTTCTTTCATAGCATTGCCACCGACCGCTGTCGGGTTTCTAGGAAAGAAACCTACGTCGCCGGACGACAACTAAAATCCAGTTATATTTCATTAAAATCGATCCTGACGAATAAATGAATTTGATAAATGAATGAATTTTATAAATGAATGGTTTTTGTTGCCGAATTACTAGAATACAATATTTCAAGGCAGATGACGCATCTATTCGATAATTTTTATTCGAATAGTTTTCGACGAATGTTTTCTTACTAGCTATCGAATTATTCGAATGAATTGCAACTATCGAATGTTTCGATAGTATTCATTCGATAGTTCCCACTACTAGTTATTTTTACCTTTGAAATGCTACTTTGTACAGCTTGGCCAGACTATTTTTGAGATCAACGATCGCAGGATCCTTCCCATCACTTCTCAGCACTGTGACCAGCCAAAATTGTCTTCCAGCATCCAGGAAATCGTCATCAGATCCATCATGATCATGATTTCTTCCTGATTTTCCATCATTACCTTCATTCTGGGTCGGTGTTGGATTTATTTCATTAGATGGAGGTTCGGGAATATCACAGTCGTTGGTGCAAAGTGCTTTTGGAGTTGTAGACTGAGAAAAAAACGAAATTTTGGTGATATTGTATAATCAAAGGATGTTAAAATGATTTATTTACTACACAACATAAAAAAATCATCACAATGAATCCCACTTTCATCAAAAAGTACGTACTTACAATTGTTATTCTTTCGTCTTAATGTGTGAATTTTCAAGACCAGTAAAACGTGAATGATTTCTGTCAATTTTAAACTTTTTATTGGTATTTCGAGTTTATGTAACAAAAAAAAAGCAAAAATGTCAAAAAGTGAATTGCAAAGACTATTTTAACATTTTTATCCCAGCAGAACTGAGAAGAAGCCGAAGAATAAGTAGAAGCAAGAGAAACTTTCAAAACAAATAAACAAATAAATTTGGACCACGGCAAACGTCAGAATATCGACAAATCAATGCACAGACAAATTCAATATCGATCGAGGGGTAAGACAAGGCGACACACTGTCCCCTAAACTATTCGTTGCTGTGCTAGAAAGTATGTTAAAAATGATAAACTGGGGATTCAACAGGAATTAACATCGATGGCAAATTGACAAATCATCTCTGTTTTACAGATGATATTATTTTAGTAACAGACAACATACAGGAGGCACAGAATATGCTGGATATGCTGAATGATGCTTTGAAAAAAGTGGGTTTGAAAATTTACTTATCCACAATATACATGACAACCCTAGTACTTAATGGAAATTTAAACATTAATAACATACCTTTGGAACAAGTGCGTATATATAAATACTTAGGGCATGAGATCGGTATTAGAAGGGATAATCAGACCCACGAAATTCTACGAAGAATAAGTTTGTCGTGGGAGGCATTCAGTAAACTAAGGCATATACTGAGATCTGATCTTCCCATATGTTTAAGAAGAAAGATCTTTAACCAGTGTGTCTTGCCTGTCCTCACGTATGGAGCTGAAACACTTACTTTGACCAAAGAGAACATATATAGAATACAGGTCATGCAACGGAAAATGGAAATGTCCATGTTGGGAGTTACATTTAGAAATAAAATACCCAATCATACAATAGGAAATCGAACAGGAGTAAGAGATGCGGTGATATCTGTCTTACATCTTAAATGGAATTGGGCAGGACACGTGGCTAGGATGACAGATGGACGGTGGACAAAGAGACTTGTGGAATGGAGACCGAGACACGAGGCCTATAGAAGCAGAGGACGACCTCCTAGTCGATGTACAGATGATATTAAGAGGGTGGCTGGAAACAAGATTCAAGTGGCACAAAATAGAAAGGAATGGCTAGTAGTTCAATCAGTGGGGGGCCATTATAGGCCTCCGCCATACAAAAGGTGGTGTAGTAGTAATTTTTTAATATGTTGTTGCTGACAGCATTGGCACCGTCTCAAGGAAACATCTACCTCCGCAAACGAGGAAAAGGCAAAATTGCTGAAAGAATATATTCAGCTAGTAGTTTAAAACATAAAAAAGTAGCTGAGAACATTCTGTTTCTCCAAGCTTTTAGTGGCTGTGATACGACATCGTCAATCTTCAACAATGGAAAAATGAAGTTTCGTTTGAAACTTCTCCAGAAAACAGCAGGACTCAGTGACAACATTGGCATTTTTAAACATCAGGATGCAACACCAGAGGACATCGTAGATACTGGAGCATGCTTTCTCGTTGCTTTGTATGGTGGCAACTTGGAAGAAGACACCTTAGAAGAAATCCGCTACCAACGTTTTGTAGATCAACCACAAAAAGTAAATCCAATCTTGCTTCATTGCCACCAACGAAGGATGTTGCGCGGTATCATTCTTTCAAGACATATCATCATGTCCAGAAATAATATGGAATCGAGAAAAAACCTGAAGACTGGGACTGGAAACTGGGCAGCAATGGGCTTGTTTCACTCACCATGACAAAACAAGCAGCACCCGACAACTTATTGAAATTCATTTCATGCACTTGTAGAAAAGGATGCGGCGCAGCATGTGGTTGCAGGAAAGCTGGGTTAAAGTGTTCCGTTGTATGTGGCTTCTGCAGTGGTCAGTCATGCGAAAATGTCTCGGAGATTCACATCGACATTGAGGACGAAGATGACCAAGACTTAACAATGGAAGAGCAATATATTCCCATAAGCACCGATTACGATGACACCGAAGACAATACTCAAAACGTTATTAATAAACGACCCGGACCATCAAAGAAAAGAAAACGCTAATAAATCGCCATGGCACTACCTTATTTTTCATTTTTATATGAAGGTTATAACATATTTTTTTCGCTCCGTGGCACCGTGGCACTACCTCACCAGCCGCTGCTGTTTATACCTATGTAAAAAATAGCGGGAATTTCGCAAAAATTACAAAATTGGGGATTTTTTTTTTTTTTTTGGAAAATATGTTCAACTTTTCGTCACTGTACCTCCTATCCAAGTTGGCGACTCGAGCGGTCCCGCCCCAAGGTCGAAAACTTGGATTTTTTGTCAAGACCCAAACCTTAACAACATTTAAAAAAATTACTACTACACAACCTTTTGTATGGCAAAACACCCCACTGACTGGACTATAGAGTTAAGGGAGGCTTTTCTTCAGCAGTGGACGGTACAAGCTAAATGATGATGATGATGATTATGAAATATGGACCAACAAATATGAGATATTTTACGTTTCTTACCTCGTTATATGGTGTTTTAGATGTTTCCACAAAAACAGTCGATACAACAGTGGAGGTCTTGTATATGACACCCGGTGATTCGGAAACCCAAATGTTATCTTCTGTTGCTCCATCTCCAGAACCTGTCCAGAAAAAGTCTTCAAACTTGTAGGACTGGTGTTCTGTGTAGTGGGCATTTTCCAAAAATATCAGTTCTAAAGAAAAAAGAAACAGCTTAGATTTAGCAAAACAATTAAAAACAAACGTTAGAGGCAGAGCTGCAACAAGTCAGTTTTAAAAAGACTTTAGTCCTAAGTCATTTCTAAAATCAAAATGATTTTTAAGTCAAATTCAACATAAAGTTCAAATGATTTAAGTCTTAAGTCTTTGTCTTAAGTCATTTTATTTCAAGTCAAGTCATTTTTGTAAAAACTTAAATCAATATAACGTTATTTAAGCCGTGTTTAAAAATCGAGAAAGATAACAATCATTATGGAATCTACAAGAAGTGCAATTTTGGATAATCAATGCACTCTGGGTATTATTACAAAACTGAAATAAATAAACTTGGAATATCAAAAATGCATTGCATGCCTCAAAGATTTTTTGAATTGAGTCGTAAAGGTTTGGATTTTATTGCTCCCTGTCGTGAGGTTATTCTGGATTAGTCGTTTACGTCAGTGCCAGGCACGTAAAACTATTCCGCCATTTCTATAAACAACCCTGATTAATTTCTACACCCCTTGTTCCTGGTTCGTGGGTAAAATATTGTAAGAAAGCAAGGGATGAATTTGGAAATTATTGCCAAAAACTATTAAGTCAATATTTGAGTAGTTTAAGGTATTGCCAGAATTTAGGTGTAATGTCTTTCGTAATCTTAAATCATTTTAATGTTATACACGCTGTCCCATATAAGAATGTACAGGGTGGGTCAAATTCGACGCTTTTAAATGGAAACAACCTTTTCTATAGGAGATAGACAAAAACTAATATCGGTGTCTGGAGCTCAATTTTTGTCAAAAACATGATGGTGAAAACCGCAAATCGATATCTCTTACCGTTTCGGAGTTACGGGGTGTTTTTCAAAAATATGCATTTTTAACAAATCACTGTAACTTTTTTGCTATGGAAGATTTTGTATTTTTATGAAAACATTTCCAAAGCACCTTTTTACGTAGAATTTAATGGTTAAAGTATAATTTTTTTAAAATTAATGATTTAAGAATTATCAACAGAAAATTTGATTTTTTATATGGGACACCCTGTATATTTTTAATTTATTGAAAAGAATTTAAAATTACCTTCCAAAAATATAACACACTTGATATTTTCCTCGATTCCTCTTCGAGATATAGAGTATATAAAAATTCGCCCGCTTTAAATAAGTAGGCTTTGAACGGCACCGGCTGTAATGCAAAAAAATTCTAGCTGTGAGCATCAATTAAAACGAACATAATATTTGCTATGAGAGATGCAGAATTTTATAACAATTTAAAATATATTTAACCAACATCAACACATTTAAACTATATCTAATATCAATAAAAATAAATAGCAAACCAAGACATGAGATTTTGTTACAGGTGTTCGGCATATCAACCGTCTTCTGTTATGGACAGACGGGGCAGTTTTTGAACATTTCTCGCGGAATTCGTTAACTCAGTGGGGGTGAAAGATACCCTCTCATAACTGCTCAGTATTTCTAATTCTTGTCTAGATTATACGGAAGAATAAGGAACCTTTATTCTTCCGCAAATATATACATAGGATTAGATCCATGGGCACTAAGTCAGGCGGCTTCGACGGCCAACGGCTGGGATCTTGGTTAGCTATTCAATTATTCTTGAAATTGACTGCAAAAATTTGCTGATAACTTCAGCGTTCAGAGGCGGTGCGTCGCCTTGCGGGAAAAATATGTTTTCGAGTTCCATTAAGGGCATTTCATCAATAAGGGGTCTAAAGCCTACTAGCTACTAGTTAAAAGTAGCGAACTTTTAAAAATTCTGTATTTCGAAGGGGATTATAACAAAATATCAAGTGTGCTATATTTTTGGAAAGGTAATTTTAAATTCTTTTCAGTTAATTAAAAATATAGAGGGTGTCCCAAATAAAAAATCCATTTTTCTGTTGATAACTCTTAAATTATTAATTTTAAAAAAATTATACTTAAACCATTAAATTCTACGTAAAAAGGTGCTTTGAAAATGTTTTTATAGAAATACAAAATTTTCCATAGCAAAAAAGTTACAGCGATTTATTGAAAATGCACATTTTTGAAAAACACCCCGTAACTCCGACACGGTAATAGATATTGATGTACGGTTTTCACCATCATGTTTTTGATGAAAATTGAGCTCCAGACATCGATATTAGTTTTCGTTTATCTCCTATAGAAAAGGGTGTTTCCATTTAAAAGCGTCGATGGAAGTAAAAATTTAATGACACACGAGACGCGAGAGGAAAAGCGGTAACGATCTTGTAACTCGGGTCCTATGTGAGGTAGAGGGCTGAAACTCGGAATGTAGATAAGGCTGGAAGTGTTTCGTACACTACAAAACCCCATCGTCAATGAATCGCAAACCAAAAAATTGTCCGATTTAAATGAAATTTGGTGTGTCAATAGATTGGACCAAGGCCAACTTTACCGAAGGAACGAAGACTGAATATTACACGTGTCACTGTGGCAGTTAGTTTTGACGTAAGAAACGTCAAAAGTCGATGTTGTCCGATCGCGACCAAATTTGACGGGTAGGCTATGTGAGTGACGGTGCACACGGTCCCACCCGAATTAGAACCGAACTCTGCACGTGAATAGAGGTACCCGAATGGAGTCCTCAGACGGACAAACGGACAGACAGTCGGAAAGACTTTTTTTCAAAAATCTTCGGAAGTATACGGAATTTTTAAACTTATAATATGGCATTTTGATCAGCATGAAATTGCGCAATTTTGCATCTATTTAACCAACCTCGTATATCTTCTAGTTTGCGGGATCACAATGATAAGGCTCGAATTTTGAACACCCTGTAGATAATAAAATAACTAAAATTAACCTAAATAGAATGCATAATTAAATCTAACGTTTTGTCAAGCTTTAGAACAAATTAAAGCAGAATTTTACACATATAATATAAACAAAAGGTGTACCTGTTCCATATGCATGTGTGGCCAATTGTGCTATATCAACCTTGGTGATGTCCAATCCTTCTTCCGCTGTTACTGTACTTAAATTCACCAAAACTAACCAAAGAAACAGCTTCAAAGGCCGTCTCATAACGGAGTTACCACCTTCAGGATACCAATTCCATTAATATATTACATTTGATCAAAATCTATGACGAATTAGTCACAAATTTCCCTGAGTTTCTTGAACCACCCTGTATACAACAGAAAAATTTGAAAAAGAAATCATCAACCTTTTGAATTAATTGAAAATCAGAGATGAAGCAAAAATAGTTATTTTTTATACAAGTCGATAAAATGGTATTTGCAATTTTATCGTCGTGTATAAAATAATATTTTTTTTCATAGCGAATTACGTTTTAAAAAATATTCAGAAATTATTATTTCAAGGAATTTATTACGAGTAGAAAAAATATTGTGCTGGGTTGGCGTTGGTTTCTATGTAATTTGACAAGTAAATAAAGCTGTCTCTTTAGTTGTCAGTTTTGCTGATTGAATTGGAGCCAGAAATGGCTCAAAACGAAATAAGTAAATTACCAACAGATATTCAGGCTGAGGCGACAAGCGCCATATCCAAACTACTTCCATTTAAATCCCGAATAACTTATGAAAAGGAATAGAAAAATTTTCAAGGTAATGGTGTGGATCCGGTGGCTGACCTTGAAACGAGTTTTTGCTGCATATAGTCACAGACACTACGCATGCGCACATCTTCGATGTTGCCAGATTGCAAGTTATTTTGGAATTATTTTCAGTAGAAAACAAATATGTGCTTTTCTGTGTTTTTTTGTCAATATATTCAGTATGATCGAAAAATCGGCGTCCAGTTGGCTGGGAAATGACGATTGAGGACATTTCTCATATAAAATGACAGCGATCTTCATTTCATAGTCATCGCTGACGCTATTTTTTTCAATCATAGTACGCGGTATATTATTTATATTCTTATTTTAATATTTCGCACAACACGTGAAACGTGAACGCTTATTATGTATTTTTATAGTCAATAAAATTAAATAGAAATAAAATTCTAGATTCCTATAATTAATCTAATTGCTCTAGATTATTATGCTATACGTTTAAAAAGTGCTTTATTAAAAATTCGGTAAATATTAAAAGGGATGTGTCCAAGTTGTTTTTTATTTTTAAATGCTGTAGCTCCATGTCATGTTTATAATAGCCTTTTAGCCTCCGTAATTAAAATTGTAGAATCATCTTGAGCAACATTTACAGTTAACTTGTTTAATTCTGCTTATACATATATTGCATTAATTTTTCTGCTACCTTAAGATTTCTCTATTCTTACACCTAATTTATGTGATTTTCTTAGCATAATATGATTTATAAACCATATTTTTCCTAATGGAAGGATGGAATAGGATATGCAAAATTAAGATATTTTAACATTTATTTTCCAGACAAAGCATAATATAGTATTAGGATTAAGACATGACAAATATTATAAGAAAGATCTTAATATAAATCACAAACTAATCTTAATTTGGTCTTGTATAAACACAGGTGTAAAACTAATAAGATCAAATCTCAACCTTCACCATATTGACAAGATTTGGCATTATAGCAAGAAATTACAGTAAATTTAGAAAAGAATATCAAAGTACACAATATTAAATACTGTAATGTATTCTACGACACAAACCATCTCCCTTCTAAAGAGAAAAAGATAAAACATAAAGCTTATTTTAGTCTTATCAACACACTCTTCGATAAAATATATGTCTAAAATTGCTCTTAATCCACTAACTTGATATTTTTAAGAAATTATGATACAAATATTATAATCAAAGTATATTATATTAGTAACATTATAGGTAAGATGTTACCTCTATCTCCCATTGACGTGTATTGTTCTATGTATAAGACTCGTCATGGTAGTATTTCAAAACATCAATACATATAATCAAAACTATTGTTGCCTGTAAATAACTAGAAATTAAATAACTTGAAAGAAATAAAATAATTCTAATAAGTTTAAAACCATTAAGAAGAAATCCGTACATGATAATTTTTAATTTTAATGTAAATATATAAATAAATGTTATTATTATTACAATTTTATATATTCATAATTCTTTCATTTCACAATCTTCATTATTCTTTTTATCTTAATTTTGGATATCAAGATAAATCTGAAATTATAAAATTAATTATATAGAATTTAATGTAAATGTAAATAGAAAAAATTATAAAATTAATTATATAGAAATGTAATGTAAATAACTAGAAATTAAATAACTTGAAAGAAATAAAATAATTCTAATAAGTTTAAAACCATTAAGAAGAAATCCGTACATGATAATTTTTAATTTTAATGTAAATATATAAATAAATGTTATTATTATTACAATTTTATATATTCATAATTCTTTCATTTCACAATCTTCACTATTCTTCTTATCTTAATTTTGGATATCAAGATAAATCTGAAATTATAAAATTAATTATATAGAATTTGTATTAATATTCATTAACACTCAAAAAAAAATTTTTAACTGCAAATAATTCGAAAATAAACTGCAAATTGGCAACATCGAAGATGTGCGCTTGCGTAGTATCGATGATCAAATGCAGCAAATATGGCCTTCAAGGTCAGCCACCGGATCCACACCTTTACCATTTTCAAAAATGAAAGCAATTAAAAAACGTGCGAGAAGAAATAAAGTTTTTAACCTATCCTCGCTGTTAAAGTATTATTTTATCTACTATTTTTGATAGATATGAGGCAATAGATAATAGAGGACACTAAGATCATTAAATTATGTTGAAGAATCACTGTATCACGACAGTTTAATAATTTGTAGCAAATAAATAAAAATATCTATAATGATTTTTAGCTATCCTTGTTTTATGATTTCAAAAACATTATTTTAAAGAAAATATCAATAATTGATGGATGTATCATCACATCATATCACACCTTGAAGCACTCCTCATCATGTTCACTACCCTTCACAACAAAAAATTTAAACTAAAACACACAGTTATAACCTCAACATTCAACATTTTCATTTTAAGACACTTTTTCTTTAAACACTTCCTCATGAGTTTGAGCACTAGTCCAAGAACACGACTTTTGGGAACACACGCACTCTAGATGAAGATCCTCTGGTGTATTCTGACAGTGTATTGTCATTGCAACTAGTTAATATGTACCAGCATTTCCGGGAGATTGATCAAACGTGAAGTCCAGGTAAAAGCGCAGGTGTATGGTACCATATTCCCACATAAAATTTGCTGTAATTATCTATAATTCAAACGAAGTATTTTTCAGCTCATTTTTTTTAATAATACTCGATTTTTGAAGGTTTTTACTGTTTTTTTCTTTAAATTTTCAATGTAGAGAATAAATTAATACAAATTTGACATAAATTCGTGTTGAAATGAAGAGGTGAGTCAGGAATATACGCCCATGTAATCTATATACCCTACGTAACAGTAGTTGGTTGCTATTGTGATGCAGGATCACAACAATGAAGAAATTTAAATAGTCTCTATGGCTGTAGCATTGAAAATAGAATAGGTTTTGTGTTGTGTTTTAATGTTTTCAGTTAAAATGTAATTTAGCTTGTATCAAATTAATAAAATCCGACAGTTCTAAGTATTATTCTTATATTCGAGTAAGAGCTGAATACAGGGTGTCCTAAATTAAAAAAAAAGCGAAATAATTTAGACTGTTTTGGAGTTAATTGAAAAACCGGCAAAGAGAAAATATGTCTCTTTTATCGAGATCTACCAGTCCTGAAAATATTTACACTTATTTAAGACTCACCTATACAGGGGAGTAATACTTAAAAAAATTGGTCAAGTGCGAGTCGGACTCGCGCTCGAAGGGTTCCGTACCATTCATTATCTATACAACATTTAGCTGAAATTTTGAATGCGCGTATAAGTAATTTAAAAAAAATGAAGAAACACATTACTAAAAATTGTATTAATCAATAATAATTATGTAAAAAGTAAAAATAAATATGTAAAAATATGTAAAAATTAAAAAAATACGATTAATAAAAAATCGGTAAAAAAACTTTTAAGTTAAACGGTTTTATCTTATGTGCACTGAAAACTAGAAAATAATAATAACAGTTAGGTATTTTGAACTTCTAGTTCAGAAATATTTTAGTACTAGGCAGAATAGCTTTTAGGCATATTAGACTAAAATAAAAACGTGGGGCCCATTAACTATTGCTGTAATACTTTCTTCTATACTAAGTGTGGATTGCAACGACTTACTATAATCGTAACTGGAGATTTTGACAATCAATATCCAGCCGTGGCGGCTTCACCAGCGAACGCCGAGCTCATGATCTACCAAAGTATAAAGATGTGCTTTGCGATAGGTAGGATTTCAGAGGGGCCCCACGTTTTTATTTTAGTCTAATATGCCTAAAAGCTATTCTGCCTAGTACTAAAATCTTTCTGAACTAGAAGTTCAAAATACCTAATTGTTATTATTATTTTCTAGTTTTCAGTGCACATAAGATAAAACCGTTTAACTTAAAAGTTTTTTTACCGATTTTTTATTTTGTTTGTTTTTTTATTTATTGTTTCCATGTTGTTCCCACGAGTAATGGACATTTTAACGGTCGACCCCACCAGAGGTTCAGTAGAGGGGCAAGGCTATAATATACAAGTGGCGCCCAATCTTGAGGGGAAAACGCTTGCGACATTACATTTTTAGCCACCCTAATGCCATACAGTCCTCAGCACGTTTTAACCTATTACCTTAACTTGGGTGGTAAAGCTACCGCTAACTACGTAGGTACCTACATCTAATCACCTATTTTTTTTATCTGTCCTTCTAACGTCACACAATCTTGGACACAACTGTTCTGGACACGACTACTCATGCCCTCACCTAATACGCCATTTTGTAACGACGTCCATCTTGGATTTTAATTTTTGCCATAATCACAGTATTCTACTAGTGTAGCCCTTTCATTTGATACCCATATCGAGGGGGTTGTGGAAAAATATGAAATCCGCCATTTTGTACCGGCGGCCATCTTAGATTTACAATGTTATTGATATTACTATATTGTATTGTCATCGGAACTAAAGGTGTGTACCAAATTTCAGATCAATCTGACAACAGGAAGGTACTTAAATTTCAATTTCTAATTTTGACCCAAACAAATAAAAATAAATACCGTACGGGTCGAGCTAAATAAAACCGTTTAAAAAAAAGTCGCCTTGGCTAGGATTCGAACCTGCCTTACTACGGCTCCAACGTCATAGCAGCGTAAAGTCCTAACCGAGGACTAGAAAGATTCTATGTAAAATTCTTACTTAAAAGATAATGTTTAGTGAAAGTACTTTTTTATTTATAAACATTTATTTAATTGTGTTTTTAGTATTTGTCCTTTTAGCGACAACATAGATACATTATCTGTAAAAATTTCAACTGTCTAGCTATAACGGTTCATAAGATAGACCTATGTGACAGAGGGACGGACAGACGGAAGTCTTAGTAATAGAGTCCCCGTTTTTACTCTTTTGGTACGGAACCCTAAAAAACATAATTTTGAGTAATACTTTGAAAATAATAGGGTTCATTAAAAATGACAGCATTTTTAATTTGCAAAACCATATCTTATTGGACATAAACTTGCACAATTTCGCCATATTTAACCACCATTATATTTGAGACACCCAGTAAATTATGCATAATTCAATTTTCTCCTTCAAAACACTTTGTTGACAGAGAGTACCCGAATGCATTTTTAACAGTACTAATTTTCATAGAAATAACTCGACAACTACTTACCGTTTCGAATACTAATTAACACGTTTTCAGTGATAGCATTACTCAGAGCGCGTTATTTTGGTCGTACCATTGGCATGGTACTTTTGGTGACTAATCTAATAATAGTGTTGTAATAATTTAAATTTTAAATTAATGATAATTTTAGAAAACTTTTTTTTTCTGATACAATTCCAATGATATTGCTAGTTCACTGTTTTAAAGATATTTGCAATCACATATTGATATCTAATATAAAATCTTATTTAATTTATGAATAAATAAAATAAAAAATAAATAATTAACCTAATTCTTCAAATGAGTTTTCAAAAAATTTAACTTAAAAAATTTAAATATATTTTTTTTTAATTTGTTATACAGCAGTATGTCCCAGGATTGTCTTGAGAAAAGGAAAAACTTTTCTATATTAACCTTTTAAAAAACATGCATCTTCATAAAACATTTTGCTTGTTCTAAAATGATTAATCCCGTTTATACTTTTCCAAATTTCCATCCCGTTTTAAAGAAAATTAAGAAAACATGAAAATATGGTTGAATTTTTTCAAAGTCCTAAAAATCAAAAGTCGTTTCTATGATAATTTAATTTCGATTTCATTCTTTGATAGAATGTTATTATTAATTTTGGCTAATGTCATATTTTTTGCTGTTATTAAAGTATCACATTTTCTGTTACACAACTGTTATCACCCTCTCCCTAGCATTAAACTAAATAAATTTTGTTCCTCTTTAACGGTTACTTAAAAAAAATTAATATACATCATTTTAAAACAAGCAAAAATGTTTATGAAGAAAGCATTTTTCTCAAAATGTAAATAATAAAAGGGATTTTCCTCTTGTCTAAGAGACTATGGGGACATACTATATACAAGTAACTATTCTCAAGTTCCTAATTTTTAATTAGGAATATTCGTTCACACTCAAATTATTTTAGCTCACTTTCATACCTTTTAAAAACAATGGTCTGTTATATTTAAAATCTCTCTTATAAAGATGTATCTAGTACTAAAAATTAACACATTTGTGCTAAATCTATTTTAAGTACTGTTTATGTCTTTGTATAGCAAATTAAGAAAACCGTTTCAAAATCAAAAAAGTATCTATGTTTTTATAATATTGTTACGTTTTTCGTCGGTTCCGTGTGGATAGAAAGTCACAATTTATTTAAACACTATTTATTTAACACTAATTAACAAAAACAATAACGATAAAAGACTTATAGAACTATTTACAAACGATTTATAACTAAGAATTTATTTTGAATTTTAGCGCGTCAACTGCACTGGTATATTTATAACTGCCCCTGTAGGCCACCGCCGCCGGCTTTTATACCGACAGGTAAAGAACTCTAGAATTGTCCATAGATCGTTAGGTGCGTAGAGAAGGTTTTCAGATGTTCTCGTATGTACTAGTCCATTCCAGTGGGACTCGATTCTTCTCGAACGAATGAATCATTGCGGTGTCTATGCGATGTTAAGGTCATCCGAGGGCGGGCCATATTGTGAGGTTAGGTCGAGTCCACACCGGCCCGCAACAATATATATGTTAGGGTTAAAGTCCGATGTAGTGATGGGCGGAATCGAATACTTTAGGGAATCGAGTACTTCGGAATCGAGTACAATTTGGAATCGAATACTTTAATGAGTACTGAGTACTAATATCCGAAATTCGAATTGTTAAGTGATTAAGTCAGTTAAATGTATTCGCTAAACTATAGTTTTATTGAATAAAACAGTTTTTATTATTTAAAATATAAAAAAAACATTTATTTATTTAACAAAGAGGAAAGTTGATGTTTTCATACATAAAAACAAAATTTATCAACAAAATAAGTAATCCGATATTGCGTACATAAAAATAAGAACACACTTCTTTTTAATTCTAAAAACACTAAAAACTAAAAACAAAATATGGAAAAATTGCTTAAATTATATAAATTATTTTATTCAAAACATTGAATAAAACAAATGTATATATTTAAGAAAATTCAATCCTAAAATTTTAACTGAAAAAAAGAAATATATAACATATTACATTAATGGAAACATTCATTTATAATTTTATACATTGTTAGAAATCAAAAACAACATTTTTATCAACAAAATGGGAAATAAATATGTTCATTACCAAAAAATAATATATATAATAATAATATAATATGTTTTTAAATTTAAATAGAAAACCAAAAAATGGTACAAATATTTTCAACGCAGATATTTAATGGTTAAATAAAAGTAATAAATAATAAACAACAAATATTGAAAGCCAATAAACAAATTAAATATTTAAATAAACAATTAAAAAGCAAAAACATTAGTGTGAATAATAACTATTTAAAAAATAATCTGATTCAAATTTTGGGTAGTAAGCGATTTCGTCGAAC